ATATTTTACAATATAATTTGTACTTATATTTACTCACACTTGCATAAACCTTTTAGCTTGTTAGATACCACATTTAGGCCACATTGATATTAACTATTGTGCCTTCCCCTACAGAGTTCAAAAGGAAAATTACAGTGCTAAGAATATAACCTGAATTATTTTTATATTTTGATAAGTTAGTTGTTGGCTTTGACTTGCTTTCCTTACACATAAAAGGCCCCTTTGCAGTTCTGTGGAATTTTCATTTGGCTGATTTGAGTCACTGTGAAGGTGAAATTTGGGGTTGTGAGAGTGGTGAGGAGTTTTATTGGATTAAAATAACAAAACCAAAGTCACAAAAACAACTTCAGCCTTATATTGACACTTTTGTCAACCCCTAGAGATTCATGAGGGAAGTTTTCTCCTGTCCTTTAAAAATGTCAGAGTTGTTACATTTCTACTTCAAGCCCAATAACAGTAGTCTGTATTTATATTTATTTCATAGATCATAGGATTATCAAGGTTGGAGGAGACCTCTAAGATCATCGAGTCCAACCACTAACCTGTCACTGCTGGCACCCCTAAAATATTGATAATATCAAAACCATTTTTTGCTTAGTTTTGTTAGTTTTGAAAAATGTTATCTGCTGCCATGTAGATTTGTGTGTGAACACTCAGCGTGGGATGGATTTGTTATTAATTGTTCAGGTTAGTTTCTACTGAGCATATTTCAGTGCATGGACTGCTGAGAAAAACTTTTAATAGCTGAAAAAGTATTGGCAGAATTGCTTATTAATTTTGTACAATGCTCGAGATTTGTAAGAGTCTGTGAAAGGTTAAACCCCAACTTTTTTTCAAGGGAAAATTCATCAGCGCTAAAATGTCAACTGTCTAGGTACAGCAGCATACTGGCATGCAAACACAGTTCTCTTATTTCAGGTTCCCCAGCTGCATAGCATTTGCATTGTGACATTTGGGTACAACATTAGCAAGATAGCTGATGTTTCAAAATCAATCAGTTTTAGTTTGGATGAGACAGCTGCAACTGAGAAGGTGTTTCTCTGAAATGCAATTAACTTGAACTCTTGCATTCTGGCAATATCTGCATCTCATAGCTTCTTAGTGGTGGCTGAAAAATTGTACAGAGCATGTAATGTTATCATTCTGAAGTATCTTTCAAAAAAAAGGCAAATCAAAGTAATCATAAAATCATCAAGGTTGGAGGAGACCTCTAAGATCGAGTCCAACCATTAACCTGTCACTGCTGGAACCCCTAAACCCTAAACCAGATCCTCCAGTGTCAGATCCAGACACCTCTTAAATACTTCCAGAGATGATGATTCCACCACCTCCCTGGGCAATATTCCAGTGCCTGAACACCGTAACAGGGAAAACATTTCTCCTAACATCTCATTTGACTCTGCCCTGGCTCAGCTCAAGGCCATTCCCTCTAGTCCTCTCCCTGCAGCCAAGGCAGGAGAGGCATCCCACACCTCTCTCCAACCCTGTCAGGGCTTTGTAGAGAGCCATAGAGTCAACTGGGTTGGAAAAGACCTCCAAGATCATCAAGTCCAACCCTACCATGGGCACTAGACCATGGCACTTAGTGCCACATCCAGTCTCAGCTTGAAAACCTCCAGGGATGGAGGCCACCCCGAGCCTCTTCTCAAGGCTAAACGAACCCAATTCCCTCAGCCCTTCCTCATTCAACATGTCCTATCCCTTTTATGAGCCTCATTGATCTATAGACTACTAGGTGTATTTTTGCAGAAAAAGCTGAATGTTTTAACAACTCGTATGAAAAGTTAAAAGAAATGAAGTGTGTATTTATTTTAGAACAAATTATGAAATAGAGGCTATGCCCATTTAAAAGGATACAAACCAGTGTCCAGAGAGGAATTTCTCTATGAAGGTCATTTAGTGCTAAATATTATGTATATTCTTTTTATACAAGTGTAAGTTGTATACAATATAGCTTCATGGACTACACTTATGTGATTGGTGCAAGGCTGTCTAGGCAGAATATGACTTCTGGTTCGAATGTTTGGAAAAAATTTGCCACTTTCAGTGATGCTATTTGATTCAAATAGCATTTTGATTTTAGAAAAATGACTTTTCACGATTTATTAACTTAGAAAATTTTCTGCTGATTTCAGATTCCTAGTTGTTTTTAGTAGTTATAATCTCAATTATTTTCAGATGCTCAGTTATTTTTAAGGGGATAAATTATGTCTTGCCCAGTGTTATGTAAAGTTGTAGCAATGCAGAGGGACTTATGTAATTTCTACTTTGTATTATCAATGTTTTAAGCTAATATTATGTTAATTGGACTTCTGTTTTCTTCCAGCTGACAGCACGATCGCTGCCTTCCATACAGTCTGATGAGAGACTACAATCTCTGCTTAATCATCTCAGGTACCATAAACTGAAAGTATGAGTAAATTCCCTTGTACAGATTAAAGAAATCACAGAATCAGTTAGGTTGGAAGGGACCACAATGGGTCATCTGGTCCAACCTCCCTACTCCAGCAGGGCCAGCCCAGAGCTCATGGCTCAGGGTTGTGTCCAGATGGGTCTGGAATATCTCCAGTGAGGAGAATCCACAACCTCTCTGGGCAATCTGTTCAGTGCTCAGTGACTGCACAGGAAAGAAGTTCTTTCTTATGTTCAGGTGGAGCTTCCTGGGCATCAGTTTTTGCTGTTCCCTCTTGTTTGATTGGTTTCCCCCACTGAGCAGATTCTGATCATCCTCTTGGCACTTCCCATTCATGGAGTTGAATCCATCAATGAGGTTCTCCTCAGTCATCTTCTCCAAACTGAACAGGCCCAACTCCCTCAACCTTTCCTCATCACTGTGAGGTGCTCTAGCCCCTTAATTATAATTGTATGAGTAGTATCTTTTAGATACAGATTTTTTTTCAGACACCTCATCTGTGCTGTTGACTTTGACTGGAAAAAAAGCCTTCAAAATATCCCTTCACCTTAACAAAAGCTTTAATAAATGACATGGAACATAATTTGCAGAACTAGTGTTACTTCTACATAACAAAAAATATTTGTAGATTTTGTAGTTTTTTTAATAATAAGTGTAAAGTCATTAAAGCTCCTTGATAATAAAACACATTCCAAATTACACTGCGCAGAACATGCACCTTTCATGTTGCAAGTATTCTGTGCTCTGTGATCTTTTTGAAAGATTTCACTGTCATTGACAAATGGAGTCCTAAATTATTCTTTTAATGTATCTAAGGAGAGAATTGAAAGTGTGAACCATTAGAGTACTCCAGAACAGAGCTAAAGAGTCTCCTTGCTCTTAATAGTATACAGTATTTAGAAGCTTTCAACTTTGGGGAAGAAGAGTAAGAAATAACACTTTCCTGATGTTTTGCAGGTGAATCATAGACCTGGTTTCTTATATACAAGTTTGCTTTATACAACAGGGAGATGGCTTAGAATCATTGAATAATTTAACTTGGAGTGGACCTATGAGGGATGATTTAATCTAGCCCCTGCTTAATGCAGGTCTGGCCAGATGAGGTTGCTCAGGTATTTATTCCATTGAATTTTTGCTGTCTCTAAGGACAGAAGTTACTTATATATTGGAGGTCAGTAATTAAGGCTCTGCTTCTGAGCACATACAGGTGACTGAAATGGTGTTGGATGACTTAGAAATGGAATTTCTGAGGCTCTATCATGGCAGCACTGCAGGGGGATGCAGATCTAGCTAGCATGCTCTTTATTTCCTATGGTGCTCTGCTGCTTGAGGTATCTGTACCCAAAACCTGACATTTTATTCTGATTTTTTTAAAAAAAATCTCATAATTTTTATTATATAGGGAAGAGTTTCATGGTTTTTTTGCTTGTAGTGTAATTCAGAATAGGAAAAAAACCTTTCATTATATCTCTGCTTCTTTACATATGATTGAGCTGTGTTGAAAAGTATTGCAGTGTGACTGTAACATGCCTGGTTTGGGGATACTTCTGAATGCCCAAAACCTTCCATGTTTTTATTACCATTCATCTTAATGGGGTTTTGAAAAACAGACCTCAGGGGCAGAGCTTTCTGCATTTGTAGATAAAGAGCAATTAAGTTAGGGTTTTGTGGGCTGTGCTTTCTAGAAGAAATTGCTGAGAAATCTGAAATTTCTTGCAATATATGCTATGTGTCTATCTAAGTGGAGCAGTCCTTGAGTATCACAGCAATCAGTCCTGCCTGTGCTTTGCTTTTTCAATATGGGGAGAGGAAAGGTTGCAAAAAAAAAAAAAGGTACTTTAATAGGAATACTGCATACCACATTTCAGAGAGTAATCAGAATTGGAAGGGACCCTTGAGGATCATCCAGCCCAACTCCTCCCCTGCACAGACATCCCTGACAGTCACACCCTGTGCTGAGAGCATTGGCCAAACACCTCTGGAGCTCTGTCAGCCTTGGCGTTGTGACACTGCCCTGGGAGCTGTTCAGTGCCCAAACCCCTCTGGGGAAAGAAGAACCAGTTGCTAATCTCCAGCCTAACCCTGCCCTGACACAACTTCAGCCCATTCCCTGGGTCCTGTCCCTGGGCCCAGAGAGAAGAGGTCAGAGCTGTCCCTGCATTTCCTTCCCTGAGGAAGTTGTATCCAGTGATGAGCTCTGTCCTCAGTCTCCTCTTCTCCAGCTGAACAGCCCAAGTGCCTCAGCCACTCCTCATGTGGAATATCCTCAGGGCCTTTCAGTATCTTCTTTTCTTCCTTTGGACACTCTCCAATAACTTAATATCTTTCTGGCATTGTGGTGCCCAAACTACACACAATATTCCAGGTGAGGCTGCCCCAGCCCAGAGCAGAGCAGGACAATCCCCTCCCTCATTCAGCTGCAATGCCTTTCCTGATGCACCCCAGGACACAGTTTGTCCTCTTGGCTGTCAGGGCACATTTCTGCTGTTATTTTTTTCACATTCCTATGTCACTTTGTTACTCAACTGGTAAATCACTTCCATTTTGCTTTTTTGAAAATGGAATGACCATTCCCAGTATGTTTTGTTACCAACTGAAAAAATTATACAAATACTTCCTTGTTGCCTTTTGGGAAGTTCTTTTAAAATAAACAAGAGACATCAAACCTTACAACTTGAAAAGCAAACTCTGGCAGAGAACAGACAGGTGACCAAATAAGTTGTCTTTATTATTTATTTCTGTGAATCCATGATTTGTTTTGCTTGATCTTGTTCATAAGGAAGGAGAATATTAATTGTAGACTTTCCTCTACTTACGTTATGTGAATTCTTAGGACAGTATCTAATTTTTGGCATGTGTCAATAGAGCTTTGTCAGGTGAGGTAAAGCTTAGAAATGTATGAGAAGAGCATACAACTGAAGGTTACAGAGGATTCTTTAGCTGTTAATGCCTCATGCATTTTTTGCCACCTATCCATATCTTCTTGTCACTTACAAATTAGCTCATCCTCAGGAAAGGTGATTTAAGTGTGGATTATATCCTCATAATTTTAATCCATGTCCATCTTTTTAAATTTTGTTTGTAAATGGACATAACATGTGCTTTGTAATTGGACTGTTGTGGGCTAAATATGTGTTTTGTCTGTGATTTAGGTACTCTTTTTGTCCTAATCTATTTTGTTGGTGCTTATGAATGTTAATGGTACTAGACCATAAAAAAGTGATCATGTTTAGTTAAAATATTCAATGCAGGATTGTGTTTAGGGATTTCATGTGCTCACAGCCTCTCTCAACCTCAACAATGATCTAAATCCTGAATGACCTCTCCCCCCTCCTTTCAGATAAAGGGAAGGTTTCTTTACTATGTGGACTCTAAGGTTGTTTTATAAGTAAGTCTTAATTACTTTTCTGTCAAACACTGGTTTCTTTGTGTTGCCTGATGTAAAATATTTGCAGCCCTTAACTGATAAAACAGTTTCTTCTAAATTGTGTTTAGAACAGCTTTCAAGTGATGCTGTACTGTTTGCTTTGTTTTTCAGCCATTCTTACATTGGTCCAGATTACACTGTCCAGAAGAACACTGGAAAGATTTCTCTGGAGCAGATCGATGCTGTAAGTCCTCTGTGTTTCTGGAGTTATACATAGTATGTTGAAACAGAACTTCTTTAATTTGAGCAATCTATGTACAAACAACATGTAAGGCCTTTATCCTTTTCTTGAATCGTATTTGCTTTGTAACTGTGAATGAAATGGTCATAAAGTTCAAAATGGGGCAGAATTAACTGTAAATGCTTCTGACCAGGATTAAGATTGGAGCTATAATGAATTGCTTGACGTGCTGCTTAATTTCCTGTACTTTCACAAATGCCTAACATAATTACAAGCAGAGTTGAACAAAATAATCTTGCAACCCATGATGTTTAGCTTATGACCATTGCGTTGCACTGTTAGTCTTTTCAATGCTCTTTTTGGTTTGGATTTTTGACTTAGAGAAGGGTTTTTACAAACAAGGAAGTAAGTAAAATGTATTGTAAAACACCACACTTGAATGATGCAGAGTCAATTAAAAACCCATTAGGATTCCTTTATCTGAATTTCAAAAATTGTGTGTGGTTTCAGTGTCCATCTTAACCATGATAATGTTCCTTTGGTAGTGAATTCCATGGCATGACTTGGATGTTAACAGATAAAAATGCAAAGCCCAAGTAAACTTGAATGTTACTGGTTTTTTAATTCACTGAGATTTTGCTTTATGAGAAATAGTATTCTTCAGGGAAAAATCCCTGCAGTTTAGTTGCAAAAGATTTTACTCTTGCTTGTTTTTCAAAGATATCTTAAAAAAAATAAATCCCCTTTCCCAACACCCAAAACCTCTATCAGAGGTGACTTTGACATTCCAGATGCTAAAATAAGGAAGAGGCAAGAAATATTATAACGGAACTGTGGATATATATTTCCTGACAGCAATTAAACCTGTGTTACTTTGTAGCTGAGGGCAGTCTGATACCTCCACCTGGATTGCTCTGTCCTTTGGATTTTTTTCTTGGGGTGGTTGTTGGATTTGGTGAGTTATGCTACCACCTGGATTACTCTGTCCTTTGGATTTTGTTCTTGAGGTGGTTGTTGGATTTGGTGAGTTATGCACACAGTTGTGTCACCATCAGTCCCACGGCTCGCTGTACGTGCCTACCTTTTCTTCCAGCCATTGGCATTTTCAAGTGGGGCTAATTAAGAATCACAGTAATCATACATACTATAAATTGAATGATCAGTGTGCCTCAAACAGCACTTCTTCTCTTGCCAGCTTGCTGTGAAATCCTTCCCTCCCTGCATGCGGCAGTTGCACAGAGCCTTACGTGACAGTCACCACCTCCGTCACGGGGGTCGAATGCAGTATGGGCTCTTCCTGAAAGGCATTGGCTTGACTCTGGAGCAGGCACTGGAGTTTTGGAAGAAGGAATTTATCAGAGGAAAAGTGGATGCAGATAAGGTAATACAACAAGGAGAAACCATTTCAAGATGTGAACGTGAGGGTGTAGTTAATGTGTACGTTATGCTACAGGTTTGAATCGGTGCTTGTTAAAGCAAATAGTTGGGCAAAAGGCACTGTAACATATCTGAAAGGGGAGGGTTGTTTTTATTGCTCTCTTTGCTTATGATTTTAGTCCTTTTGTTGGGCATTCACATGAACAGTGGGTTAAAAAGGCAAAGCATAAAGAGGCTTTTTATAGATGAGACTAGAAAAATCTTACCAGTAAATTACAAGGAAGTCAATGTCACTTATGAAATACAGGTAGTATGTGACTAAATTAATGTACCAAGCAGGTAAGGGGCTACAAACAGTACTGCCTGAAAGGCAAGGTTAGGCTTTTTGTTTAATAGGTAAGAATATTGACTGGACAGCTGTGTGTGAGGTAGGCTTGCCTTGGCAAATTGGGAGTCTGAGAATAAAAGAAGAAACTGGAGGTGAATGAAGACAGAAGATGTTCAGGGAAATAGTGAGAAAATGCTGTTCAGTGGAAAGTGCGGTATTACTGACATACTAGTCATTAGCCTAACCATTGCTAATATTTTTGAGAGTATCATGAGTGAGGAAGGTGTAACATAGATGTGCTGTTTCTGAGAGTGTGAAAAATGTATCCTAATGTTTGGGGGATGATGACCTGCTCCTTACCTTGAAGAGCTTAGGCAGAATGAAGCAGGTTTCCTCTCTCATCTGTGTCTGCCTGGACTGTGTTAGAGCAGAGTTTCAGACCTTGTATCAGTTTTCTGTGGAGTGTGATACTTTGCATTTAACAATGTGAGATCTCAGCCTTCCATAGAACTGTGAAGTATTTGGAGTGTTTGGTAGACAGTCTTTTGTCAGCTTAGGTTCTCTGGGACAGGGCTGTTTCTACAAGATACAGGGTAAAAACTGCAATAGGCTACAAAGAATGATACTATGAATTAATTATGCTGTGGAATGCCAATTAATTACTAGTTGTATTGGGTTTACATAGCCTGGATTTGGTAGTGGATGGGCTTACAGGGGTGGCTTCTGTTGGAAGTTGCTAGAAGCTTCCCACTTTGTCCAACAGAGCCAGTCCCAGCTGGCTGCAAGCTGGACCTACTGCTGGCAGAGGCCAAAATCTTCAGCACCTGTGGTAGCACCTCTGGGATAACATATTCAAGGGGAGAACAAACCTCTCTCTCCATCTGAATCATAAAATCATCAAGGTTGGAGGAAACCTCTAAGGTCATCGAGTCCAACCATTAACCTGTCACTGCTGGAACCCCTAAACCCTAAACCAGATCCTCCAGCATCAGATCCAGAAACCTCTTCAACACCTTCAGGGATGGTGACTCCACCACCTCCCTTGGAAACCTCTTCCAGTGCCTCAAGACCCTAACAGAGAAAACATTTTTCCTAACATCTAATCTGAATCTTGAACCTGTTATTGCGCAGAGTCTTGTAGTTACTGCATTTTCCAGGAGCAGCCTGCTATTTCCATGTAATTTTAGTTCTTCTCAAGTTTTAGATAAACAGCTTCAAACTAGGGCAAAAAAGAGTTAGTGGCCTGTGATTTTTCACAGCAAAATGTCATGCAATGTTTAATGTCCGGTAAAAAAAATGAAGATGAATACAATTCTTATTGATATTTTCTTCTTTTGACATTTTTATTTTCTGGCATTCATTCCTTTCCTGTGGAGTGGAGATAATTACACTGCTTTGTCTTGCCCGAGCATTGTGAAGATATATGCATGATACTTTCTAAAGATTAAGGTTAATTATGTGTTACCAACTGGTACATTGTAGAGAGGGAGTGTTCAATTTGCTGCAAATGACTATGATTTCGAAATGCTTTGTTCACATTTGTCTCTAATGGCTGCAACATCTATGCCAATTCTCAGTCCTAAGAATTCTTGGCACACGACTTCAGTCATCA